GCAGTAGCCTTTTCCCAGGACTTTCCAGTCCTGGAAAATGCCACAGCAAAATCCCAGGACTTTCCAGATTTTCCAGGACCCGTACGAACCCTGGCACTAGTCATGCAATGCTTTCGAATGGTATACCATTTATTATAATCCACCAAATATTTTCGCTCGTGCGCGATTGGTCTAAACACATCACCTGACTGAATATCTGAGAATATTACCCAATTTTCAAAACTGCGCACATTGCGAAAAAGATTTGAAGAATAATAAACACAATAGCCTCCATTTTGGGTGAAAATGTGCTCGGATATTTGTCCTTGGACATTATCTGTTCCTTGAAGCTCACAGTTTTCCGAAAGCTACGTTCTCGAAAAACTGTTCACTTCTCGGAACAAATAATGTCCGCAGACAAATATGCAAGCATATTTTTGCGCCAAATGGAGACTATTGTTTATATATACCACAAGTCACTTGAATTTTTTCAATATACACACAAGCCTTTAGCCGAGTGTGCATACCAAGAAAATACAAGTGACAAGTGGAATATTCCTTGGTATACAACTCACGAGAGAGCGTTGCATAACTATTTTGAACCACGCCATTGAAAATGTAGCCTGCGAACGCAGACGTATTTCCAGCTGTCGCTTGTCTCTGCCGAAAATAATGTCTGTGAACCCAAGCCAGGAAACGATTTCTGTGATGAAATGACTTTTGTTTCTCCTTGGCCAATCAGATTCCATGATAGAATGAAACTCGAGTGCTCCTCGCAGCAAATACCTCGCGCAGTTGTTCTGGGGCTACTTGAGCTAAACTGTGATTGGCTTAAAATTCCTACATCACAGAACTCATTTCCTGGCTCGGGTTCGCAGACGCTATTTTCGGCAGAGACAAGCGACAGCTGGAAATACGTCTGCGTTCGCAGGCTATTGAAAATGTAGTGGCCAACACAGTCAATGCGACATATGTGCGGTGCATGATGGGAAGGTTGGATGTAATACTGTCAAAAATACAATGGCTTTCCTGTATTCTGATTGGCCGTATTTTCTATGGTATGGTATAAAAGTATTTATGTGTGAAATGTGACAGGTATGGGTAATTTTCCTTATACAATGACACTCAGATTTTTTTCGCTGTGCAAAGATTGCCTCTTGTCATCTATGTCTTTATAAGCAGACTCCAGAGTAAGTTCATTAGCCTGCTCTAAAAGCTTGTGTGCATTAGAGTCTCTCAAAGCAAACAGAGTAATTCCAGATTTATATGCAGCAGGAATGGTAACATGTGTTGTTAATAGCTCTCTGTGTTTAAGCTCACTCCCATGAAGTAATAACAAAGTTTCTTCTTTCACCATCTGATCAATCTGCTCTCTAACTTTCAGTTCATTCCATCTGTTTCCATCTGACTTCCAGCAAGAGTAATCAAGAGTATTACTCCATCTCTGTAAGACGTCATGACGTCGAATTAGAAGGACAGATTCACTACATAGTTCCTTAGATATCACATCAAAGGGACTCACTCTTTGAGGGTTAGTAAGATGAACACCATTCTCGCTCACACCACAAATAACCTGATGATGCCACGCATCTGGTATTGTTCCATCATCTAAAGGCACCTTTTGACAGTTTAGAGTTGCCAGTGGTATTACACCATTCATTAGCCAGTATTTCAACCAACTTGATAAGTCAAAGTCACGCTTGGGGTACATGTGAAAGAAATGTCCTATTACCTCACCATTTGTCAATTTATCAAGCCCCCCAATAAGATCTTTGTGTGTTGTTCCTGCAACACTGCGTGACAAGAGGTATTGGGGCAAAGGAGCACTAAGATCTCTCAGTCTTGTATTTACTGCATTAACTGCCATATCCACCAATGCTGACCTTCCAAGTAATTTCTACATTCAATCAATCAATCAATCAATCAATCAATCAATCAATCAATCAATCAATCAATCAATCAATCAATCAATCAATCCGTCAGTCAGTCAGTCAATCTATCAGCCTGTAAATCAGTCAATAAGCCAGTTAGCCAGTTAGCCAGTTAGCCAGTCAGTTCGTCGTGGTTAGTCAATTGATCCAGTTATTATTATTATAACGTTCTGATATTTTGTACCAAAATCACTCAAGATAAACACTTAAATTGAAACAAGCTTAATAAAAAAATGGGAAAACATCGGTGTCGACAGCTGGGAAAAAAAGAGAGAGAGAGCAAAAGATTTCTTTTGTTTCATTGCCTGGAAATTTGAACTGGAAGCTGGGTCAGGAAAATAAGCTAACGACAAAATAAATCATTTGAAACATCCTAGAAATCATAACTTAAGACAAAAGCATATCACCTAGAATAGGTGATATGCTCCTGCTTAAGTTTTAAGTCTTATTTGCTGTAGTTGACAGGTCTTGAAATCCTTCCTTGCCTTACCAGAACATTTAAAACTGCAGTAGCTCCACAAGCCGAAGTGCCAACTTGATTTACTTGTTTTTCTGCGACCTCGGTCTCGTCCCAAAGCACAACCCTTTCAGGAAGTTTATCCTTTTCGTTCGCTGCATACGAACTATCAGCCGCCATCTTTGTTTGGGTGGAAGTAGCATGATAACCTGGAAGGTGGTAAGGGAGGGGTGGTACATGTACACTGCGTTGACTTTGCTTGCTTCTTTGTTTGTTACTTCTTTAGCTTGTGAAAAATAAAACGCTTTTAAAATTTTGCATTTTCTCTTAGAAAATAGACTAAAATGACTTTTTTCTCCGCAATAAGACAATCTGGAGGTTACGTTGCCTCTTATCAGCACCATCAGTGTCCCCGTCGCCCACCCGGACAGAAACGTTTCTGGAGAGGAAAGACTGTGCCCAAGCCAAAAAGGAACCACTGACACATATCGTGACAAAAACGAAAGAGAAAGCAACAGAGATAGCATTTCCCGGTAAACCTATCCTTCTATTCCAAAATATGGCTCTTTCTCCATCAAAAATAATTAAACTGGGCTCTTCATATGGTGGTTTTTGTACTAAATGTCGTCAAGTTTCAAAATGGCTACCTGGCTCGCTTAGAACTCTTCTAAACATGGACAGTCTTCGCGCTCGACAGGCCGGCGATCCGATCTTACGGGCGGAAGCCGAGACTGTGGACATCACGACTATCCATTCTCCTGAGTTCAAGGAAATGGTCGAGCGAATGTTCAAAGTCATGAGGAAAGCGAAAGGTCAGGGGATTGCTGCACCACAGATTGGAGTGGGACTTCGAGTGTTCGCAATCGAATTTACAGGACAACATATCAAGACGTTGAAGGACCGAGGACTCTCCGATAAAGAAATCAAACGCATGGGTATTGCCTTAGTTCCTCCGAGGGTTTTCATCAACCCCGAGTTTAGAATAATTGACTCCACGTTACTGGCATTCCGTGAGGGATGTTTGAGCGTGGAAGGTTTCTCGGCAGTTGTCCCTCGAGCAAAAGAAATTGAAGTTACAGCCCTGGACATGGAGGCTCGGCCAGTCACGTGGAGAACATCTGGGTGGCCAGCGAGAATCGTTCAACATGAAGTTGATCACCTGAAGGGGAATCTATACATTGACTGTATGCTGTACAAATCATTTATGAAAAATGATTGGAGAGATTATACGAAGAAATAGGCTAAGGGCCTGCAGTTGTACATATGTACGAATAATCTGGGATAATAAATTAGAGAATAGCCCAAAGAAAATATGCACGCCGATTGGTTTAAAATCGTGTTTCCATTTAACAGTTAGATTGTGAGCTCGAGATTTCTTTCCTGTCAACTGTCACGTGATAGAAATCAAGAGCAAATAATCCAATTGTTTTAGTTTAAATTTACTAGTGATTCAAAACTTTATCTAAATTCTCTTAACAGACACTTTGAAAACGCCAAGAAGCGCCTTTCATTTTGTTAACAAGGGCACACTACTACGCTACTCACTATCTGGAATAGATAGTGAGTAACGTAGCCAATCAGAGGACGGCATTTGTGATAGTACGCTTGCAGAGTTATACTAAAACTCATAGAAGCACAGAATTAGCACAAACTGTTGACATAACGATGGCTCAAGCAAAGAGAATTTACATATTAATGATCAAAGTAAGCAAGCTGTTTCCTCGCTTTTATTGCAGAATTTTCTAAAAGAAAAAGGAAACATTCTTCATGTTTCTTTCAAGTCATAGAAACACTCATGGAAGTTTGGGAGAACTCAAAAAAGCTGTGGAAACACGTACACTTGCCTACTGGCTTGTGTTCCTACAGCATTTCTCATTCTCCCAAACTTCCACTCATGTTTGTTACTCTATAGAAACATGGTACAAGTTTTCTCATTCTAATCAATGCACAGCTGAACTTTTCCCGTATACAAAGATTGACATTAATTCTCTTTGTTGTTAACAACCATAAAAAAATTTACCCTTTGTTTTAACAGCCAATAGATCTTTGGTGTGCACATTAATAACAGAGTTTAACCTATGCGGTGCAAAGCGTCCATATTCTCGAAAGAAACCATTTCTTTTATTTGCAAAATTATGTCTTAACAATACCAGAGATGATCATTAATACTGCAGTATGCACTGGACATGAAATAACTGGTTTTCTCAAACTCATTAATAATTCACCAAGTTTAAACAAAGGAAATCATGACCATGACAGTGCTAGAATATCTGATCTTAATTAGCATAGAGTTTTGCAAATTTACTTCTCCGTTTTCTCCTTAGTTTTAGTTTTGATTGAGAAGTTATATCAAGCACTCAAGACAGTGTTTGACCACATTTCCAAACACCTCGAAGTTTGTCAAAAATACTGCGCTACGCGTCATATTTTCAACTCTCTTTTCGGTGTTTGGGAATGTGGTCAAACACTGCCTTTCGTGTTTGATATATTACGTAAACTTGGATCTCCTCTTGGGTTGAAGATGAAAGTGGAGAATGATCATCGCAGTAAATTTTCCAATTTAAGCAATTGGAAAGAAGCCTGAAAAAAATCAGGGCTTTTATCTTCAACTGCAGTTCAAATATGAATTATTTCATATGTACTTCACATCATTTCACTCCTCACGGGAAGATATCAACTCAATTAATTGACCTCTCTCCCAATGTGTGGCTTCATAGCTCAGTTGGTAGAGCATCGCACTGGTATCGCGGTGGTCACGGGTTCAAATCCCGTTGAAGCCCTGATTTTTTTCAGGCTTCTTTCCAATTGCTTAAATTGGAAAATTTACTGCAATGCTCATTCTCCACTTTCATCTTCAACCGCAGTTCAAATATCAATCATTTCATATATACTTGACAAAATTACATTTGTTTCAGTAGTTGTAAGTAAGTGTTTTAGTTCCCAATGAAAGTAGTATATGCTACCCACACTACACGAAAAGACTCACACCACTGTCTAGATACAAGGGCCTGCAGGCCAGCAGGAGCTTCATACATGGTTGTTGGCTTACACTTAAGTACTGCTTGTTATCACATAAAAAAACAATTTTCTTAAAGGAAGCTAAGCACAATACTGCCACTCATATGAAAACTCAAAACCACATTGGAGAAAAAGGGAACATATACCCCCTGAGAGCTGAAATCAGCCATGGTGCTGACAATTTTAGGAGTAGAGGTACTAGGTAACAAAGAATTGCTGAAGGTAAGTGTCTCACACTACAAAATTTTTGTCACTGAGACTTGCGCTAACCTACACCTGCTTTAAATTTGTAATGGACTTCTATACTAATACATCTTAAAAAAACAACCCATGAACCCCCTAACATGGACTGAGTGCTCTGGCCTTTGATAGCAAAATAGCTATTTCTTCCTGTTTCACGATCCTATATTATTTGTCAGTAATACCATTGTTGAGCATTGCCACTTAAATAAAGCTGTCATTCACTCATAGGAAGATTACCATTGATACAATGAGTGTATAATTGTGTATAATTGCATAACAATGAGCGCATAATTGTGAAGAAAAATCTTCCTAAGAGTAAGCTGAGAAAGAAAAAAAGTTAACTTTTCTTTTCTCGCTTTTTTTTTGCCCCTTTATCCTTGGTGCACTGGCTGTATTTTTCAGTCTGGCCACAGCAACTCCATACACATCCATCTCGGTAACAAGGCCAGCCAGCCATTCCACACATACAGTCATCACAGTGGTATGCATACACTCCTGTATGGCCATTGACAGGTTGTCGTTTGGCACGTGCATCACTCACACCCTCCCAATGATGAGTTTTCACTTTCTTAAATCCAGCAGGTGGAGGAGGAGAGTTGGATCGCTTGTCTGCCATCTTGAAGCTGGAGAAGACAAGAACATTTTCCTTGTTTTTGCCGTCAAATCACAAAATTGCGTAGGTGTTAAGAAAATAGTAAAAGTACCACCTGTGACAGTTTTACCCTGCAGGTGGGGGGACTCCAATATCAAAAGGACAGGGGTGCTTGTCGGAAATTTTGAAAGGAACCCCTAAGAGGAACCAGGATCCTGTTTTGTGGGCATGGGTTGAGTTTTTTTCACCCCTAAGTTGTTTTAGAATTATTCTAAAACAACACTTTATCCCCAATCATATTTTTGTTCAGCTCAATACCCTAAAGGGTACCGCAAAAGCTCCTGCTATGGACCTTTTGAGGTTGAATGCCCTAAGAGGTAGTCCCAGACCGCTTTTTAACCACTAAAAGGTACGTCGAGCACCCCGTCTTTTTCATATGGTAGTTCCCTCAGGAGTTTTGCTATTGTCATTACAATAATCATGTCTTTCTTTGTTCATTTCATTTTCCTAGAAGGCCTTATGTAATTGGAAAATTACATCATGGCTTTGTTTCTGCTTTCAGTTTCGAAGTCTTGTAATTTTCTCATAGCTGTCCAAGATAATACCTACTCCATTTTTAATCATTAAGGTACCTTGGGGTTGCAGAATCAAAGGGGCAATTGCTTCCAGAATGTTGCAATTTAAGAATTGGAACCTAATGAAATGNTGGTATGGTATAAAAGTATTTATGTGTGAAATGTGACAGGTATGGGTAATTTTCCTTATACAATGACACTCAGATTTTTTTCGCTGTGCAAAGATTGCCTCTTGTCATCTATGTCTTTATAAGCAGACTCCAGAGTAAGTTCATTAGCCTGCTCTAAAAGCTTGTGTGCATTAGAGTCTCTCAAAGCAAACAGAGTAATTCCAGATTTATATGCAGCAGGAATGGTAACATGTGTTGTTACTAGCTCTCTGTGTTTAAGCTCACTCCCATGAAGTAATAACAAAGTTTCTTCTTTCACCATCTGATCAATCTGCTCTCTAACTTTCAGTTCATTCCATCTGTTTCCATCTGACTTCCAGCAAGAGTAATCAAGAGTATTACTCCATCTCTGTAAGACGTCATGACGTCGAATTAGAAGGACAGATTCACTACATAGTTCCTTAGATATCACATCAAAGGGACTCACTCTTTGAGGGTTAGTAAGATGAACACCATTCTCGCTCACACCACAAATAACCTGATGATGCCACGCATCTGGTATTGTTCCATCATCTAAAGGCACCTTTTGACAGTTTAGAGTTGCCAGTGGTATTACACCATTCATTAGCCAGTATTTCAACCAACTTGATAAGTCAAAGTCACGCTTGGGGTACATGTGAAAGAAATGTCCTATTACCTCACCATTTGTCAATTTATCAAGCCCCCCAATAAGATCTTTGTGTGTTGTTCCTGCAACACTGCGTGACAAGAGGTATTGGGGCAAAGGAGCACTAAGATCTCTCAGTCTTGTATTTACTGCATTAACTGCCATATCCACCAATGCTGACCTTCCAAGTAATTTCTACATTCAATCAATCAATCAATCAATCAATCAATCAATCAATCAATCAATCAATCAATCAATCAATCAATCAATCCGTCAGTCAGTCAGTCAATCTATCAGCCTGTAAATCAGTCAATAAGCCAGTTAGCCAGTTAGCCAGTTAGCCAGTCAGTTCGTCGTGGTTAGTCAATTGATCCAGTTATTATTATTATAACGTTCTGATATTTTGTACCAAAATCACTCAAGATAAACACTTAAATTGAAACAAGCTTAATAAAAAAATGGGAAAACATCGGTGTCGACAGCTGGGAAAAAAAGAGAGAGAGAGCAAAAGATTTCTTTTGTTTCATTGCCTGGAAATTTGAACTGGAAGCTGGGTCAGGAAAATAAGCTAACGACAAAATAAATCATTTGAAACATCCTAGAAATCATAACTTAAGACAAAAGCATATCACCTAGAATAGGTGATATGCTCCTGCTTAAGTTTTAAGTCTTATTTGCTGTAGTTGACAGGTCTTGAAATCCTTCCTTGCCTTACCAGAACATTTAAAACTGCAGTAGCTCCACAAGCCGAAGTGCCAACTTGATTTACTTGTTTTTCTGCGACCTCGGTCTCGTCCCAAAGCACAACCCTTTCAGGAAGTTTATCCTTTTCGTTCGCTGCATACGAACTATCAGCCGCCATCTTTGTTTGGGTGGAAGTAGCATGATAACCTGGAAGGTGGTAAGGGAGGGGTGGTACATGTACACTGCGTTGACTTTGCTTGCTTCTTTGTTTGTTACTTCTTTAGCTTGTGAAAAATAAAACGCTTTTAAAATTTTGCATTTTCTCTTAGAAAATAGACTAAAATGACTTTTTTCTCCGCAATAAGACAATCTGGAGGTTACGTTGCCTCTTATCAGCACCATCAGTGTCCCCGTCGCCCACCCGGACAGAAACGTTTCTGGAGAGGAAAGACTGTGCCCAAGCCAAAAAGGAACCACTGACACATATCGTGACAAAAACGAAAGAGAAAGCAACAGAGATAGCATTTCCCGGTAAACCTATCCTTCTATTCCAAAATATGGCTCTTTCTCCATCAAAAATAATTAAACTGGGCTCTTCATATGGTGGTTTTTGTACTAAATGTCGTCAAGTTTCAAAATGGCTACCTGGCTCGCTTAGAACTCTTCTAAACATGGACAGTCTTCGCGCTCGACAGGCCGGCGATCCGATCTTACGGGCGGAAGCCGAGACTGTGGACATCACGACTATCCATTCTCCTGAGTTCAAGGAAATGGTCGAGCGAATGTTCAAAGTCATGAGGAAAGCGAAAGGTCAGGGGATTGCTGCACCACAGATTGGAGTGGGACTTCGAGTGTTCGCAATCGAATTTACAGGACAACATATCAAGACGTTGAAGGACCGAGGACTCTCCGATAAAGAAATCAAACGCATGGGTATTGCCTTAGTTCCTCCGAGGGTTTTCATCAACCCCGAGTTTAGAATAATTGACTCCACGTTACTGGCATTCCGTGAGGGATGTTTGAGCGTGGAAGGTTTCTCGGCAGTTGTCCCTCGAGCAAAAGAAATTGAAGTTACAGCCCTGGACATGGAGGCTCGGCCAGTCACGTGGAGAACATCTGGGTGGCCAGCGAGAATCGTTCAACATGAAGTTGATCACCTGAAGGGGAATCTATACATTGACTGTATGCTGTACAAATCATTTATGAAAAATGATTGGAGAGATTATATGAAGAAATAGGCTAAGGGCCTGCAGTTGTACATATGTACGAATAATCTGGGATAATAAATTAGAGAATAGCCCAAAGAAAATATGCACGCCGATTGGTTTAAAATCGTGTTTCCATTTAACAGTTAGATTGTGAGCTCGAGATTTCTTTCCTGTCAACTGTCACGTGATAGAAATCAAGAGCAAATAATCCAATTGTTTTAGTTTAAATTTACTAGTGATTCAAAACTTTATCTAAATTCTCTTAACAGACACTTTGAAAACGCCAAGAAGCGCCTTTCATTTTGTTAACAAGGGCACACTACTACGCTACTCACTATCTGGAATAGATAGTGAGTAACGTAGCCAATCAGAGGACGGCATTTGTGATAGTACGCTTGCAGAGTTATACTAAAACTCATAGAAGCACAGAATTAGCACAAACTGTTGACATAACGATGGCTCAAGCAAAGAGAATTTACATATTAATGATCAAAGTAAGCAAGCTGTTTCCTCGCTTTTATTGCAGAATTTTCTAAAAGAAAAAGGAAACATTCTTCATGTTTCTTTCAAGTCATAGAAACACTCATGGAAGTTTGGGAGAACTCAAAAAAGCTGTGGAAACACGTACACTTGCCTACTGGCTTGTGTTCCTACAGCATTTCTCATTCTCCCAAACTTCCACTCATGTTTGTTACTCTATAGAAACATGGTACAAGTTTTCTCATTCTAATCAATGCACAGCTGAACTTTTCCCGTATACAAAGATTGACATTAATTCTCTTTGTTGTTAACAACCATAAAAAAATTTACCCTTTGTTTTAACAGCCAATAGATCTTTGGTGTGCACATTAATAACAGAGTTTAACCTATGCGGTGCAAAGCGTCCATATTCTCGAAAGAAACCATTTCTTTTATTTGCAAAATTATGTCTTAACAATACCAGAGATGATCATTAATACTGCAGTATGCACTGGACATGAAATAACTGGTTTTCTCAAACTCATTAATAATTCACCAAGTTTAAACAAAGGAAATCATGACCATGACAGTGCTAGAATATCTGATCTTAATTAGCATAGAGTTTTGCAAATTTACTTCTCCGTTTTCTCCTTAGTTTTAGTTTTGATTGAGAAGTTATATCAAGCACTCAAGACAGTGTTTGACCACATTTCCAAACACCTCGAAGTTTGTCAAAAATACTGCGCTACGCGTCATATTTTCAACTCTCTTTTCGGTGTTTGGGAATGTGGTCAAACACTGCCTTTCGTGTTTGATATATTACGTAAACTTGGATCTCCTCTTGGGTTGAAGATGAAAGTGGAGAATGATCATCGCAGTAAATTTTCCAATTTAAGCAATTGGAAAGAAGCCTGAAAAAAATCAGGGCTTTTATCTTCAACTGCAGTTCAAATATGAATTATTTCATATGTACTTCACATCATTTCACTCCTCACGGGAAGATATCAACTCAATTAATTGACCTCTCTCCCAATGTGTGGCTTCATAGCTCAGTTGGTAGAGCATCGCACCGGTATCGCGGTGGTCACGGGTTCAAATCCCGTTGAAGCCCTGATTTTTTTCAGGCTTCTTCTTTCCAATTGCTTAAATTGGAAAATTTACTGCAATGCTCATTCTCCACTTTCATCTTCAACCGCAGTTCAAATATCAATCATTTCATATATACTTGACAAAATTACATTTGTTTCAGTAGTTGTAAGTAAGTGTTTTAGTTCCCAATGAAAGTAGTATATGCTACCCACACTACACAAAAAGACTCACACCACTGTCTAGATACAAGGGCCTGCAGGCCAGCAGGAGCTTCATACATGGTTGTTGGCTTACACTTAAGTACTGCTTGTTATCACATAAAAAAACAATTTTCTTAAAGGAAGCTAAGCACAATACTGCCACTCATATGAAAACTCAAAACCACATTGGAGAAAAAGGGAACATATACCCCCTGAGAGCTGAAATCAGCCATGGTGCTGACAATTTTAGGAGTAGAGGTACTAGGTAACAAAGAATTGCTGAAGGTAAGTGTCTCACACTACAAAATTTTTGTCACTGAGACTTGCGCTAACCTACACCTGCTTTAAATTTGTAATGGACTTCTATACTAATACATCTTAAAAAAACAACCCATGAACCCCCTAACATGGACTGAGTGCTCTGGCCTTTGATAGCAAAATAGCTATTTCTTCCTGTTTCACGATCCTATATTATTTGTCAGTAATACCATTGTTGAGCATTGCCACTTAAATAAAGCTGTCATTCACTCATAGGAAGATTACCATTGATACAATGAGTGTATAATTGTGTATAATTGCATAACAATGAGCGCATAATTGTGAAGAAAAATCTTCCTAAGAGTAAGCTGAGAAAGAAAAAAAGTTAACTTTTCTTTTCTCGCTTTTTTTTTGCCCCTTTATCCTTGGTGCACTGGCTGTATTTTTCAGTCTGGCCACAGCAACTCCATACACATCCATCTCGGTAACAAGGCCAGCCAGCCATTCCACACATACAGTCATCACAGTGGTATGCATACACTCCTGTATGGCCATTGACAGGTTGTCGTTTGGCACGTGCATCACTCACACCCTCCCAATGATGAGTTTTCACTTTCTTAAATCCAGCAGGTGGAGGAGGAGAGTTGGATCGCTTGTCTGCCATCTTGAAGCTGGAGAAGACAAGAACATTTTCCTTGTTTTTGCCGTCAAATCACAAAATTGCGTAGGTGTTAAGAAAATAGTAAAAGTACCACCTGTGACAGTTTTACCCTGCAGGTGGGGGGACTCCAATATCAAAAGGACAGGGGTGCTTGTCGGAAATTTTGAAAGGAACCCCTAAGAGGAACCAGGATCCTGTTTTGTGGGCATGGGTTGAGTTTTTTTCACCCCTAAGTTGTTTTAGAATTATTCTAAAACAACACTTTATCCCCAATCATATTTTTGTTCAGCTCAATACCCTAAAGGGTACCGCAAAAGCTCCTGCTATGGACCTTTTGAGGTTGAATGCCCTAAGAGGTAGTCCCAGACCGCTTTTTAACCACTAAAAGGTACGTCGAGCACCCCGTCTTTTTCATATGGTAGTTCCCTCAGGAGTTTTGCTATTGTCATTACAATAATCATGTCTTTCTTTGTTCATTTCATTTTCCTAGAAGGCCTTATGTAATTGGAAAATTACATCATGGCTTTGTTTCTGCTTTCAGTTTCGAAGTCTTGTAATTTTCTCATAGCTGTCCAAGATAATACCTACTCCATTTTTAATCATTAAGGTACCTTGGGGTTGCAGAATCAAAGGGGCAATTGCTTCCAAAATGTTGCAATTTAAGAATTGGAACCTAATGAAATGATTTAATATAGCAAGGCCACAAAAGTAGAATTAAATTACTACGAGATACATGACCAGAGGTCTCCAGAGTGTTTGCCCTTATTTCAGCCATAGTATTCACAATCTAATCCCTTTTTGGCTTCTCCAAAAAAGGGAGTGGCTAGCCACCGAATCCACCTACCCCCTGCTTAAATCCGCCCCCTGCAGTGCATGTGGGCTGTTTGGATCTAAGCATGTATTCAACGGAGATAACTGGCATGGGCTGCTACTGCCGCTTATGAATGAAAGGAACTGGATTAAAAATAACGAAGCACTATGAATATGCGTCTTGTTGTGTTAGGCAGAAAATTAATGTAATTTTACATAGTCAGGCAAGTTAGAGTTATCAAGAAAAACACATGCAGTGTTGTGATACGGGCAAAGATGTTAAGATCTTGAAATTTCGTTTCCTACCTTCGATAAAACAAAGTCTCTACCGACTTTAGACCCTGCCAATGTTCAAATATTCCAAAAAAGGACAAGAAGCTGCACACAAACAGAACATACACCAGCGGCTAGCTGTAATGCAAGTGCGGCCAAACGGGCAGCGAGATTGTCGTGTAGCAGCAGCGTGTGGCAAATTAGGGAGGTTAAGCAAACCGCTACGGCTGGCTCTGATACGGCTGCCGGAAGTAAATTTCCCCCAAAATGAGACACTGCGCATGTACGTCGGTTGCATCCAGCCGTAGCGGGCG